GTCAAAATCATAACCTCCAATGGGATTTAACGTCTAATCAAATGAGAAGTTTGGAAGAAAACAAACGCATCAACAAAAACTAATTCGTTCAATCTAATTACTGAAGTTTTTTCGGCATATTTCTTGCTTTGAAACCTGCTTCTAGATTCATAACTCGCCGTTTGAGAAAAAGAAACCACCGTCATACATGACCTAGCTTGTGTAGACAGTGAATGACAGAAAGATGTCTAACTTAGATTTATTTCCCGCACATTAAATGATTTATGCTTAGTTTGAGGTACGTCGATGCTCAAGACAAATTTATGATTGGCATTATTCACTTAATTGACGTTTAAGAGTCAATTGAAATGGGTATCCAATTCAATAAAATGGCTCAGATCTAGATATGATTTGTCAAACTCTACTAAACAAATCACCAGATTAAATAAAATGCTGCAGAGCTAAACTTTTATAACACAATGCCTGCTAAAATGATCCTCAATAATTTGAGTAAAGTACAACTCATGTATGCTATCTGTATTTCGTTCTCGATTTCGCTGTCCCCATGGAACCGATCAAATGCCGATCTCCTATTCATTAATTTCCGAAAATCCTAACCTTCAACTAGTATAACCAGTTCTATAAACTTCGATACTTATTCTACTTACTCGTAAGGTGATTAATCTGTCGCGGAGTGAAGTGGAAATCTCAAACTCATGCATTATCAATAGCGCTCTTGTTCATGTGCCAAACTTCATAACTGTCATCTTAAAGTTCCTGAATTTCTCAAAAGCACGAAAAAGCAAAGGAATTTGTGTGGGGGAGAGAGAGAAATCTTTGTTCTCTTGAAGTGATTCACTCTCGTAATGTAGTCAGCAAATCAAATTTAATTCATGTTTCACACAAATATCTGCCTTAATCTCATTTAACTTTCCAATTGCATATGCAATCGCGAGGAAAACACACTGGTTTAACTCAATAAAAATTGTCGAAATCAAAAAGACCAATTTTACTATTGTTTTTTCTTATATAAACCTATCTTATAATACTATGAGCGATTGCTCGAGTATTGGATGTTTTGCAAATAGCGCAAATAGGAACCTGGCAAAGATCAAAGTGGGCTTTAAGGACGAGTAATGTGCACAAGGTGTCTTTTGATATTAATATGGAAATAGGAGGGGGGAGAAGTACAGAAGAGGCTGAATAGTTGTCGTTTTTTAAGGTTTGGTAAAAGTTAGAGGTGTATATATAAGTCGCGACGCTGTTGTCTACTGCCATACATTTCAAATTATCGTAGACATTTCAGGTAGTATCTAAAGAGCATAAAAAAGCTTTGGTTGAGAAAATTATTAAGAGTAATCAGTTGTTGATGGGTGAGAGGGGATTGGAATTGACAAGATTTCAGTGATACCAAAAAGTGAGCGGACAGAGGGGTGTGAGAGATTTACATGACCCACATTGTATGTAACTAAGGTACCCAACGACATTTGACGTTAACAGTGCATGAGTAGTTTCGTAAAATGTTACAAAGAAATGGTAAGTAATATCAAGAATATAATAATATTCCATTTAAATGAATAGGAAAATTGAAATTTATTTCACAAATCTTCATGCAGTATGAGGAAGCACACACTAAGCTGCTTATTTGTACCACTTTAGTCGTTTGTGAACTAGAATTGTCATAATTTATGTTTATATTTTTATTTTATTTCGATTAGCGAGTAAATGTGTCTCCTTTCCTATACTCTAAAACAAAATTATGTGGATCAATTTTTAATGGAGTAGATAAAAATGTCCCATCAACATATCCCTAACACCCCCCCCCCCCCCCCAACACTCTCCCAACTGATTTAATTGTTAAATAAATTGTGTGCACTGCCGTAATAAAACTCTTAAATTTACAAATTTCTTGGTAGGATAATATGGAATGAATTCGAATGGAAGGAAAACCAAGCTTTAACATGATGTTGATAGACAAATTTTTTTCGACTTCTTTCATTTTAGACCTTCAAGATAGATGTTTAACGTCTCATATTCGATCGGTAAAATGAAAAAAGTGTTTACAAAAAATCAAGGAAAATCTGTTGTTAGCGTTTGTTGGAGACATTAATTTTTGGCATTTTAGTATGAAGGAGGAAATGTTAATTTATTTCGATTTATTATAGCATACATTTAGTTGACGTATTCCAAATTGCCATCGGTAGTATTAGGATAAGTTGGATAACTCGAAGGGGCTGCAGCTTGGTTTCCAGAGGCCCCTGCAGGTACATTCCTTGTTGAACCTCCTCGCCAAGCTCGCATACAGTAATATAAATCGATACATAGAAGAATGATCGCAACCAACCAGAAGAACTAAAAACATCACGTAATTCAGATTCTATATTTATATATAAACAAATTGACAAAAAATAAAATTTGACATACGGCAGATGCTCCATCTTGTGGTCTACCAGAGGCAAATGCGCAAGCAACGCAAAAGTTGATGAAGGACAGCCCAGCCAGGACAGCAGAAGTTATAAAATCCTAGCAATTTATAATAAAATAATATATATTATAAGAAAATTGCATCTACATTAACCAAAAGAGTAATTACAATTTACCACAAATGGCCAGTTGAGACTTATTTTGGAAGTTAAATTAAAAAGGTAACTGAAATAGAAGCCAGCCTCGAAGATGAATCCGAAAAGGGAGACGAGGAGGAAAAATACTCGATAAGAAACACAGTGAACGCATGCACAGATTAGCGTGATAATTAAAGTAATACAGATCGAAAGTTTTATTATCCCAGAAATTGATTTCAAATACGCGTTATTCACTGCCATTTTGCTACCTCAGTAAATTGTAAGATCCGAATTTTCAACAGTTATGTTTAAGGTCTTATAAAAATAATCTTTATCAATTTAAACAAATTGCAAGGTGAATAATGAATATTTTCTTAACAACAGCAGAAGTTTAAAATTAAATAAAAATTATTAGAGAAATATAGTATTTGCAGTTTTTTTCAAATATAAGTGATATAGCATCATTTGCTTAAATTTTTATTCTATAATTAGAACAGATTTCATAATAATGTGTTATATTTAAATGTTTTAGCTTTGTATTAAATTCAATTATTTTGCATTGAAATTCTCTTTTGCTTGATTTCATTTTTGTAAGAAAATGGTGATTTTTACCCATATAAATAATTTCTTATAACAGAATAATTTGTTTAAAGATGGGAAAATATATAGTTTAAGCTGCTTAAAGAGAGTAAATCAGTGTAATTTGCGTTAGTTTGTGCGTATATGTGTAAATATTTTTTATACAAATATACTCAACACTTTCTTTTACTAACGATCGGTTTCATAATTGTTATTAAAATATTCTTTAATTAACAGGTACCTTCCATCTGTTATTTAGGACATTAAATTTCGCATTCTTTGATTAATAACTTAAATGAATTATTCATATATATTATTTAAAATGGTGTGAAATAAACTTACATAACTTCATTTGTACTGGTCGGTTATTAGTCTGAGATGCGTTTATTCAATGTCATTGTTTTAGACTCAATGAACATTAAATTTATTATGGCTTATTTTTAGCTTCTTATAAAGCTCAGAAATATATGGCAACTTAAGATTGCAAGCAATGAATACTTTTAAAGTCGAGATATTATCAGGAGTTTCTTGTTTAAACTGAACCATGTCAATAACAGCTAACCACTTTGCATAAATCAATCATGATCAATTTCTGGGGATACTTCCAATCATACTTTTGTACTAACCTTCCTTGCTCTAAAATTTTATGCCCCTAAAAAGCATTTAAATGTCAACTTTTATTTCCAGTCTCGTCCGTTCACTTATATGCTAGTATTCTGACGAGTTCGCCTTTAAGTATTCATCCCAAGGTGATGAAATATAGTAAATTTCCACTTTTATTTAATATTATCATAGTTACTCTTTTATTTCTAACTTTATTTTCAAGATTAACTGTCTTGACATTTTTGTAGAAGGGCTTAGTCTACTTAATAAATGCATTAGTACCATTTTCCATACATATTAATTCTTTGAAATTCTCTTAACCCTATAAAATTTAAGCAAGCTAATTAAATTCAAATATTATAATTTCTTAAAATTTTTAGCTTTTGTGGTAATAAATATGATGACTTTTGACGCTATTGTGTTGATTAATCTGAATTTTCTATAGGAATATTTAATTCCAATTGGCTAAAGCATTGCTAAGACCATTCCATTTATTTAAACTAGTATTAACGGGCTAAAAATAAAGACATTAATTCAGTTTCATGAAAATTCTAGAAAAAATTGACTGATCTGAACACTAAAAATATCCTTTCCAATATGAGCATTTTAGGGCATCTGTGTATTACATTGGCCAGAATAATATTGAATAAGTTTCAATACCATTTCATGTAAATGAAATTATCAAAAAAGGCTTCTGGATTGAAAATTATTAAATAACGTCTCGAGATATCAACATACGCGGAATACGAAAACGACTTGAACTAATTGATATTATGCACTAGAATTATACAGAACTCAAAACTTATATCGACCTTATTAGACAATGAACTCCATTGGAATTTAATAAAAATAAATTTGTCTTCATATAAATATTGATCCATTGCTTCGACTTACGGAAAGCTGATTTATCTTCCCAGATCGATCAATCATGCCACACAAGTTTTGTTTAAAATATTATCATCGTCCCAGGCCCTCTTCAGAACTTTTTGCGTGGCAATGACGATTATCAGTGGTTGGCTTTATGACTCCTTTTTTATCCATAGTGAAAAAATAGGCATCCTAAAATATGCAACTTTGTATATTATAACACCCCATTTGTTATTCCATAAGGAAATTGTATGAAAGTTCGATCGAAATGAGAATTCGCTCAGCTTTCCTCCAGCCATAATTATCTTCAATGGGAGAACTGAGCATCCTTATATAGAAATGTTAGTAACATTGAGCTCTTTGTCAAATTTTATTTATATTAAATGGCGGACTTTATGGTGGTCATCATTAGCCCTTTAATTGACTTCGGGCTTTACAGAATGGAGGAATATCAAAGTCACAAAAAATCGAAAGGGGGTGAATGGAAGAGCTATTCATAGATGTAAAAGTGACAAACAAAAAGGTAGAGAAAAAGGTAAGGTGAGATGAGTACTGTGAAAGTGGTCGATTACGATATGGAGTCGGCTCATGGTAGTTTGAAGTCAGCTATCAACTGTTGGTTTATAGACTTTTTTGCCATATATTTAAACATTGTCCAGGTTGCACCACGTGGAGGTAGGTCTATTGCGCACCCCAGTTTTGGGAAACTAAAACTCTAATAACCCTTAGTTTCACAGCTCATGTAAACGCCATTTTCGCCTTCTTGATTTTAATGCATGCCTTTCAAGTGACTTGAGAGTGGAGCAAACGAAAATTATTATAGATTTTTATTTCGTTCATGGACTTTCTGAGACGACATTATCATTACGAATGCTATGAAGTTATCTAGTTTCAGCTTTCATTTCATATCTTTGCGAAACGTTCAGCAAACTTCTGATTATAACTTGACGGAAAGGTGATTATTTACCAAGAATTTCCTGTTGGAATGTAATTTGATTTGTTAAGCAACCTTGTTTTAACACCATTTATCAGAATATGACGCTGAAGCCTATTTAGTAGTAGCAACATATTTTGGAACTGTCAAGCAAGTAAATGATTTAATTATGAAAATGATCTAGATAAAATATGATTTCGTTATATGCAAATATTAGTATGCATGAAGAAGCAAAAATGTCACTAATAGCAATGGAATACTTAGAGAGTAAAAAGTATTGAGAGTGATAGCGTTTATTAATGAGAGAATAAATCGAAAATCGGAGGAAATCTAAATCATTATAATTTAGAAATGGTTATGCCGTCTGCATTCCACTTAACGGACTATAATAAACATAAACTTATCTAATGTTTATCAGTTCAGTTACCAGTATTTATACAATGAGCTAGGAGCATTGTAATTATCCCATCTCCTCAACTTTGACTCAAAGCCCGCTTAATCTCCCACTGCATTGTACGCCTTGCTTCTTAATCACCAAAGAATACGATATCAGTTAACCGTTTTTGGCGCACTTCATTTAAATTTTTCCTTGAGACCCTGAATGTTCTTGCTTAGTGTGGAAACCTACCTCCTCCTTTGAAATTATCATTTTTCTACCCAATTGCCCTTCTTTTCTATTCGATTCACGGTCCTCTCTTACCGAAAAGGTTTTTTGTATTTTGAAATATTATTAATTTTAGGAAAAGGTTTCCTTCCAGTTTAGTTTTACTACCAGAGAAACTTCGTCGATGAAAACTGAGATTGTTTTGATTTAGATTTATAATTTTTTCCTATTTAAAGCCCGAGAATAAATTACCGTCCAGTCATTTATAGTTTAGGACGGTAATGACCTTGCAATTATTCATTATTAATTCATTTGATACACAAAATTCTAGTTTTTCAACAGCTCATTTGTCTTTGCTACTCACCCTTTCCATTAATAGATTCTTCCAATTAGATATTGGTATTCAAATAAACTGTGGACGGACTATTATAAGGGAAGCAAAGAAAGCCAGTCACTGAATGTTTGTATTATGGCTAGCAGTAAATTGATAGGTCAAAAGGTGAAAGTAGGTGATATAATGGTAAATAAATGCAGGAAGAAGCGATTTGTGATAAGTCTTGATCTTGAATTCAAATCAACCAAAATTTTACAACTATAACTCATCCTTATGTTGCTAACAAATGAAAAAAATAAATAATTGTAGCTTTACACATTTGATGCCTTTACAAAGGCAGTACCAGAATCATGCATGCGTTGCCACTAAGCTCAGGTAAGTTAAAACCGGTTTAAAATGAAGTTAAAACCGACTTCATTACTCACTTATTTCTGACCTTTAGTCTTTCTTATACCCCATTGAACTCCTTTATTATTGTTAGTATTGTGAGATACTAAACTTTTAAGTTAGAGGAGTTCCAAAATCGTGAATGAACGTGTTTAAACAGCGATTGATATTAAGTGACTCTGCAATCTATTAAACTATTCGAAGGTAGATTTTCTAATAAGGTAACCCTATTCATTAGCGGTTATTTAATTGATTCAGTCATATAACAATCCACAAGAGTTTGTAACGGAATTTAGAAATAAAAACGACCAATATCTCTGCTAAGATTAAATTATTATTGGGTTGGCAACTAAGTCATTGTCGTTTTAGTTGACGGATTCACTCTATACTTTCTTTTGTTTTGT